CTCTTCCTTTTTATGAATCAGACGGTAAAAGTGATTGTTTGCAACTCTCTTTCTTTGATATGGATTGCCTTATATTTTGCAAGTCTGGAATTTTGAGTTTTATCATTGCTGAGAATAGCTACCTTGTAAGACAGTGTATATACCCACACCATGTTGAATAAAACACCTTTGCTCCATCAGAGCTTGGGTCCCCATGTCTTTCTTTCCTTCTCTCTCTCTCTCTCTTTCAGGCTAATTCTTTGGCTCATGGAAGCCCACTGAGCTCACTTTCTTGCCCGGGCTTCTAAGACCCTCTCAAGAAGGCACACTGTGCCTTCACCCCCTCAAGAGGGTGCCTGGTGCCTAAGTGAAGCAGTGCAAGCTCTGTGCCAAGAGCTTTATTGGTTCTCTGCGTAAACCAGGGAATATTAGCCTCTTTCCTTCTTTCACTTTCTCATCATTGACTCTGGACCACCAGGTTCCAACCCATTAAAGAACCCCAACAGCCACTGTTTTTAATTGTTCATGCAACAAAGGAGGGCATTGCATTTGAGCTTCTATAATGTCAAATTGTCCAGTGCCAGTTAACATTTCAAAAGTAATTTGGTTTGGGGGAGAGCCAGCTCGAGCGTTTTTGTTAGCATGATCTCTGGCTATATCTTGAAACCATATTGTCCATTGAAGATATTCTCCTGTTTTAAGGAGTGCTTTTATTAAAATTCACCAATCATAGGGAATAAAGGTTCCAATAGAAGACACCATAGCATTTAGAATCTCTCTAGTAAAAGGTGAATATGGGCCATACATAGTTACAGCCTTTTTCATTTGTTGCATGTGAAAAAAGTTAATACCTCCATATTGAAGTATTATTTGCCCTTGAGTGTCAGCATTTCTTAAAACTGGAAAGGCAGAAAAACCATTGGCTTCAGAGACTTTTGATTTCAAAGCCAGCAATTCAGAGAGCCTCTGTCACGAAGGAGAGTGAGTAGGTAGCAATTTTTTTGCAAATATGAGTTTGTGCTAAGGACTCATCATTATTATCCAGAAAAGTATTGCCAGTTTTGGTGTCAAAAAGTGTCTCAGGAGAGTCATTGTTAGAATCATTAGGTTCTAGTAAAGGAGAGACTTTTGAATTCATGACTGTTGGCAGAGGAGGAGCATTTGGAGCAGCCGGGGCAGGTCTTGTGGGAAAATTCTGAAATATTTTATGTTGTTCTAATTGGGCCTTTTGTTAAGTTTCATCATCTAACTCATATTCATGTAATAAGTGTTCTGTCTATTGTCAAATATTGGGAGGGCTAGAATTGCCTTGAAATGGCAGAATTACAGCTTTAATGAGAGCCCACAGGGGCCAGAAATCAATTGGAATATTTTTTCCCTGTCTGGTGGCTCATTCAACATACTCTTTGACCCAGTGTCAAATTTCTAAATCAAAACCGCCTTCATGAGGGAACCAGGGATTATGTTCAACTATTGTTTAAAGGCAAGCCTCTATTCTCTGGCATGAAACCGAAAGTCCCTGAACTTTAAATAAACGATGAAGTAAAGTAGAAAAGTGGTGGGGCTTTCCAGCCGTTTGACCCATGTTCTTGTACTTACCGACCTCAATAGGCCCTGAGTCACTCTGTCCAAAGTGCCGCATATACCAGGCCCCTGTTCAGGTGCCACTTGTTGGGGTCCTTTAATGGACCAGAACATGGTGGTCCAGAGTTGACGATAACAAAGTGAAAGAAGGAAAGAGGCTAATATTCCCTGGGTTACTCAGCCAGCATTCATGTTCCAGGGAATCAGCCAGAGAGAGAGAGAGAGAGAGAGAGAGAGAGAGAGAGAGAGAGAGAGAGAGAGAAGGACATGGGGACCCAAGTCTCTGGTGGAGCAAAGGTGTTTTATTGAATACTGTAAGAGTATATATATCATAAAACAAGGTAGTGTCTTCAGATAAAGATCAAGAGATCAGACTTTACAAGTTACCAAGGAAGCAAGGAGCAATAGGGGCCATAAGGCCAAAAGGTGATACATATCAAAAGAGGGTCATAAATAATCTTTCAGCAAATGGAAAAGCTAATGAAGGAAATCCTATGCAAGCATCCCATCTCTTTGATTTCCATCCTAGGAGTGGCTTGCCTGCTGCTCTCGCCCCTGACAGGGACTAATAAGGAACAGAGGGCTAAAGAGAGATAGGAAACAGCACCCAGGAATCTTACTGTTAAACATTCCCTGACACTCAGCAGGTAAAGAATCCACCTGCAATGCAGGAGACACAGGAAATGAGATTTTGAGGAGGACCCCTGAAGGAGGGCTTGGCAATCCACTCCAGTATTTCTACTTGGAAAAACCCACAGACAGAGGATCTTGATGGGCTACATTCCAAAGGGTTGCAAAGAGTTGGACATGACTGAACTACTAAACACACATGCACACAGTCCTTATGTTAGTTTTTTAGAAATATTTTTGAGTACAAATATTAAAATTCTGCACTTATCCAAGGACATATATTCTACTTCAAGTAGTTATTTTCCTAAGTTTTAACACACTCTCTCTCAAGCACATGAATGTATTCAGTAAAGATACATAATTTATAATTCTAAATATACCTCAAAAAGCAGGAACAATCAACGTTTCATTTTTCAGGGGACTTTATTATCTAGCAAAATTCACCTATACTGAGTTGAATGCTTTCAAAATGAAATACTCAGAATTAATAACTTTGATCAAATAATATTAGAGAAGGTTTTAGTAAATTATTTTAGAAAGTCAATAGAATTCATGGGTCTGGGTGACTTCACTTAAGGAAAGAATATGAAAGAGAGAGCCAAGGTCTGGGCTCTATGAAATTCTAAAATGTAAACATATGGGAAAGGTGAAGAGTCCACAGACAAGACTGAAGCTAAATGATCATATATATAGGAGATGAATAAATAATCTGGGAAGTAGGACAATGTCAAGAAATCCAGAGAATGAATATGTCAAAAAAGGAAAATTCAATTATATAAATGCTGCAGAAAGATAATATGAGGACTGAAAAATACCCATTGTCTTTAAATCACCTTACTGTACACCAAAAACTATTACAACATTGTAAATTGTTTATACTTTAATAAGAAAACAACAGTGGATAGCCAAAGCAATCTTTAAAAACTTTCATCAGGCTGGAGGCATTACATTTTCTGATTTAAAGCCATATTACAAAGCTATCAAAATAGCTTCCTTGGTAGCTCAGATGATAAAGAATCTTCCTGTAATGCAGGAGATTTGGGTTCAGTTCCTGGGCTGAGAAGACCCCCTGGAGAAGGGAATGGCTATCCACTCCATTATTCTTGCCTGGAGAATCCCATGGATAGACGGGCTTGGCGGGCTAGAGTCCATAGGGTCGCAAAGAGTAGGACATGACAGAGTGACTCATGCTTTCAGATTATTTCATTGTAATCAAAACAGTGTGGTATAATATCTAGCAATTTTACGCCTGGACATATATCTGGAGAAAAATTAAAACTCTAAGTTTAAAAGATACATGCAATCCAATGTTCATAGCAACACTATTTACAATAGCAAATACATGGGAGCGACCTAAATGTTCATGATGAGTGGATAAAGAAGATGTGGCACATATATACATGAGAGAATATTACTCATCCATAAAAAGGGATGAAATGTTTCCATTTGTGGCAACATGGGTGACCTAGAGAATATCATACCAATGAAGTAAGTCAAAGAAAATATTATATGACATCGCTTACATGTGGAATCTAAAAAATAATACGAAAGAACCTATTTAAAAACAGAAACAGACCCATAGACATAGGAAACAAACTTATGGCTACCAAAGGGGAAAGTGAGGGGATAACTTAAAGAGTATGGGATTAACAGATACACATTGTTATATATAAAATATATAAGCAACAAGGATTTACCATATAATGCTGGGTAAAATATTCAATGTCTTGAAATAACTTACAATAGCAAATAATCTGAAAAAAAATATATGCATAATCACTTTACTGTACACCTGAACCTAATGCAATATTGTAAATCAACTATGCATCAAAAAGCATATGGTGTTGGCATGAAAACAGACACATAGAACAATGGAATAGAATGGAAAGCCTAAAAATAAGCCCATGCATAGCATATATGGTCAGTTAATTTACTGCAAAGGTGCCAAGGCTATATAATGGGTAAAGGTCAGTGTCTTCAATAAATGTTGGTGAGAAAGCTGTATAGTCACATGAATAAGATTAAAACAAGGCTCCTATCTTAAGCTGTAAACAAAATAAACTCAAAATGGATTCAAAATGATGTCAGTAATTTGATATAAGACATTCCTCCTTTATGAACTACTTTTTAATCAATAAAGTAAGCATCCATATGTGAACAAAGGCAGCTTTGTGGGGATTTCCAGACTTTGCACTTAGCTCCAAGGAACCAAGAAGAATCTTATCCATCAGGGCAGCTGATAGGAGACAGACAAATCTCCATACATTCCGCAGAACCAACAGGACTAACAGTGCTGTCTGGACTCCTCTTGGTCCTGTTTGGCAAGGATTGGGTAAATGTTGAAAGCACTTACCCATGAAAGAAAACTTGCAGAACAACAATCCTCCTGAAGGGAGAGGGAGACTCCAACACATCATTGGAGAAAAAAATAAACAAGAAAAATACACTTTTTCCACAATGAAGATAAGTTTGATTTCAGAAGAAGTGGTAACAGAAAATTTCTCTACACCTCCTTACCCTCAAAAAGGCCCTGATTGGAGCTGATTCATTTAGTAGAGACTAACCTGCTGTGAAAGAATGGGACAATAAGAGAGGGTCTGACTATTTCAGCTGGATGGGATGCAGCTGGAGAAAAGCATTTTTCTCCACCAGCATCTAAAGTACTAAGGTGGGAGCACCATGACTGGAAGGAGGGAGGATAATGAAGAAGAGACAGATAAGAATTTCAAGTGACCTTGAAAGAACTGTGCTCAGTAGAAAGTCCACTCATGTGCCTCTGGGTGTGTCATCACTGGGGAATTTCTTACCATGTCTGCAATAGCCAAATACACTAAAAGCTAGACTCACATCTCTTCCCATTCTGCTAGCTGCTTCTTGGGTGTGCTCTCAGGTGCATCTGTGAGAGTAAGCTCCTGAGAGCTCTGGTAGACAATGAGCATAGCCAAAAACAGGGCACAGATGCTAAAGAAGGGAGAAATCATAAACTTGAGTTATAGTGCCATCTTCTGGAAAACAAAAGAGAGGTTTCTAATCAAAGACATAAAATAATCAAAGACATAAAAGCTTATCTCTTGTGTTGTTGGAAGAGGGTGTTTGCTATGACCAGTGTGTTCTCTTGGAAAAACTCTGTTAGTCTCTTAATGAGGGTGGAAAAGGATATTGAAAAAGCTGGCTTATAACTCAACATTAAAAAACACTAAGATCAAGGCATCCAGACCCATCACTTCACGGCAAATAGATGGGGAAAAAGTGGAAACATTGACAGATATTAGTTTATTGGGCTCCAAAATCACTGAAGAGGGTGACTGCAGTCACGAAATTAAAATACACTTGCTTCATGGAAGAAAAGCTGTGAACAAACCTAGACAAAGAGACATCACTTTGCCGACAAAGGTCCATATAGTCAAAGCTATGGTTTTTCCAGTAATCGTGTATGGATGTTAAAGTTGGACCATAAAGAAGGGTGAGTGCCCAGGAATTGATTCTTTCAAATTGTGGTGCTGGAGAAGACTCTGAGGGTCCCTTGGACAGAAAAAAGATCAAACTAGTCAATCCTAAAGGAAATCAACCCTGAGTATTCATTGGAAGGACTGATGCTGAAGCCAAAGCACTAATACTTTGGACATCTGATGCAAAGAGATAACTCATGGAAAAGACCTTGATGCTAGGAGAGATTGAGGACAGGAAGAGAAGAGGGTGACAGAGGATGAGATAGTCAGATGGCATCACTGACTTAATGGACATGAATTTGAGTGAACTCTGGGAAGATGGTGAAGGACAGAGAAGCCTGGCATATTGCAGTCCCTGGGGTAGGAAAGAGTCTGACATGACTTAGTGACCAAATAACAAAAGAGATATCTGATAACTCAAATGCAGAAGCAGAATGCATAACTAGAAGCTATAGGGAAAAAATCAAGAAAATATGTCATCATAAGATGATAATTATTAATATAATTTCCAGCTACTAAACCCCAGATCGTAGACTATTGTGATCTAGCTGAAAAATAATTGAAAATAGCTGTTGAAAACAAATTCAGTGAGCTATAAGAAAATTCTGAAATATGATTCAATGAAATTAGGAATAAATGTAGTTAACAGACAGACTTCTTAACCAGAGACTAAAATTTAAAAAAAAATAAAGGAATTGAAATTTTGGAGCTGAAGGATTCAACGAATGAAATGAATGCAATAGAGAGCATCTACAGTAATGAAGATTGGGTGCAAGTACCAATAAATTACTTGGAGGATAGGAATGGATAAATAAGTTAGAAATTAGATGAGAAGAGGAAATTAAGATTTAAAAAGAGTAAAGAAAGCCTATGAGAGCTATCTGATTTTATCAGAAAGTCAAATATTCAAATAATAGAAGTCCAGAAGGAGAAGAGAGGGAGAAGGGGACAGATAGTTTATTTAAAGAAGTAATAGCTGAGAACTTCTCAAATCTTGGGAAAGACTTAGACATACAAGCCCATTAACCTGACTACTTCTGTGCAAAACGACCTTCTCTATGGTCATTATAATAAATGTAAAAATCAACAAAGAAAGAATCATAAAAGCATCCAGGGATGAAAAGAAAGTGACCCACAAAGAAACTCCCATTAGGCTAAGAGTGGTTTTCTCAGAAAAACAAAAAACAAAAAAAAACTCTGCAGCCCAGGAGGGAGTGACATGACACATTTAAAGTGTTGAAACAAAAAAAATTGCCATCCAAGAGTACCTTATCTGTTAAAGTACCTTCAGATATGAGAAACAAGAGTTTCCTAGGTAAACAAAAGATGAGAAAGTTCACCCTCACTAGGCCTGTCTCGAAAGAAATGCTGAAAGGATTTCTTCAAGCTGAAATGAAAGCACACTAATCAATGACATAATAACATACAAAGGTATACACACACTGGTGAAGGTGAAAAATAGACTTAGAAAGCAGTAACTAGACATTATTAATAGTTGATGTGTTTACCACTTAATTATATTATAAAAATTAAAGACTAGTAAAAATAAGTGTAGCTACTACTAGTTGTTAAGAAATACATAACATATAAAGAGACAAATTATAGCATCAATAATATTAAAAGAAGGAGTAAAATGGCAGTTTTTTTTAAGCATTTGATGATGACTTCCTACAGGCCTAAAAAGGACTGTTTTATCTATTACATGCTTTGGATGATTCACAAGGTAACCACAGGGGGAAGAAAAAAAAACCTAGAGTACACCCACAAGTAAAAGAGGAAAGGAGAAACAGAGTATACTACTATGAAAATTAACCAATTAATGAAAGCCGGCAGAGACAAAGGGAGAAGGAAACAAAACAACCAGAAATAAATTAATAAGATGGCATTACTATACACTTACATACCAATATTACAATAAATGTAAAATGATTGAAATCACTAACAAAAAGCCACAAAGTGGCAGAATTGATGGGAAAAACCATTCTATGCTAACTATGAAACACCCATATCAATTTCAGAACAGACTTTGACAAAGGGAAGGGATGGAAAAAGATATTCCATACAAGTGAAAACAAAAAGAAAACATGCTAGCTATACTTATATCAGAGAGAATAGACTTTAAGACAAAAGCAATAATGGGATAAGGAAGGTCACTATATAGTGATAAAAGATCAACCTATCAAGGAGATATAAATCATAAATATATACCCACCCATCATTGGAGCAACTAAACATATTAAGCAAATATTAACAGATCTGAAGGGAGAAATAGAGAATATTAGAATAATAGTAGAAGATTTCAATACCCAACTTTCAACAATGAAAAATTATTCAGACAGAAAATCAACAAGAAAATGATGGACTTGAAAAATAGGGCAGACCAAATGGACCTAACAGGCTTTCCATTCAACAGCAGCAGAATACATATTCTTTTCAAGTACACACAGAACATTCCTGAGGATATATCATATAATGCAGCACAAAACAAGTCAGCAAATTTAAGAAAATTGAAATCATATCAAATATCTTTTCAGACCATAATATATGAAACTAGAGATAAACAAGAAGAGGAAGGTTAGAAAATCTACAAATATGTGGAAACTAAGCAGCACATTCCTGAACAATTAATGGGCCACAAAAGAAATCAAAAGGGAAATCAAAAAATATCTTGAAACAAATTAAAAAAGAAGCCAACCTATGAAAACCCTGTTAAGACATACAAATGACCATCAGATACATCAAAGGTGCTCAAAATCACTAATCATCAGGAAAATGCAATTAAACCATAATGATATATCATCTCATACATGTTAGAATGATTCATTATAAAAAAAGACAAGACGCCATATACTGGTGAAGATGTGAGGCAAAGGGAACTTTTGTGCACTGTTGGAGGCATTGTATGTGGGTACAGCCACTATGGAAAACAGTGTGAAGATTCCTTAAAAAATTAATAATACAATTCTTGTATAATCTAGCAATTCCAATTCTGGGTAAATAGCTAGGTGAAATGAAATAATTAACACAAAGTGGTACCTCTATCGCTAAGTTCATAACAGTATTATTCACAATAGTCAAGGTATGGAAACAACCTAGTGTGTCTGTCAGTGGGTGAATAGGTATATACAATGGAATATTATTCATTTAAAAGGAGGGCAATCCTGTCATTTGCAATGACTTGGATGAATCTGAGCACATTATGCAGAATGAATCTGAGCACAATAAGCCAGACAGGGAAAAACAAATACTGCATGATATCACCTATATGTGGAATCTAAAATAAAAAAGTTGAACTTATAGATACAAAGAGTAGAAAAGTGGTTGTTAGGATCTGAGGCGTGGGAGAAATAGAGATAAGTTGGTAAATGGAATCAAATTTTCATTTATAAGATGAATGAGGCATGAGGATCTAACGTATAATCTGATGACTATAACTGATAACACTATATTCTATAGTTGAAATGTGCTAAGAGAGTGGAACCTAAATGTCACAGAAATTTAAACATTTAAGTTAATAAATGTGTTAATTAGCTTGATAGGAAGGATCCTTTCACAATGTATATGTACATCAAACCATCATTCTGCATGCTTTAAATATCTTAAAATTTGATTTAGTTTCAGTAAGGCTGGGATAAAAAAGAATTTAAAAAATACAAAAGGAACACTTATACTGTTGGTAAGCATGTAAATTAGTACAGCTATTATGGAAAACAATATGGAAGGTCCTCAAAAAATAAATAAAACTACCATGTGATACAGGAACCCTAATTCTCGGTATATATCCAAAGGAAATAAAATCTGTATCTTTAAGAAGATATCTGCAATTTCTTCTGTTGATTACAGCATTATTCACAATAGCCAACTTATGGAATCAACCTAAGTCTCCATGAACAAATGAATGCATAAAGAAAATGTGATATCTATATGCATCACATTGTGTCCTAGTATATAAGTTTCTCCTCTCTCTCTCTCTCTCTCTCTCTCTCTATCTCTCTAAATGCTATTCAGTCTTTAAAATAAGGAAATTCCGCTATTGCAACAACCTGGATGAACCTGGAAGACATTACTATAAGTGAAACAAGGCACACTCAGAAAGAAAAGTTCTGCATGATCTTATTTATGTACAGAATCTAAAAAAATCAAGCTTATAAAACCAGGAAATAAAATGGTAGTTACTAGATACTGAAGGGTTGGGAAATGGGGGAATATTATTCTCAGGGTACATTCAGTTATGCCAATTGAGTAAGTTCTAGAGATCTAAAGTACAGCATGGTGACTGTAGTTAATACACTGTATTGTATGCTTCAAATTTGCCTAACAAATAGATCTTATGTGTTCTTGCCACACACATAAGGAAGTTTGTGAGATGATGGATATATTAATTAGCTTGATTGTGGTAATTAATCCCAA